TCCTTCACATGCTGGCTGCTCTTGGTCCTCACCGTGATCATGTAACCATCCCCGAACCTGCCAGACAGGCCCACGGCCGGAGCCCCCGTCACCCTGGGGAGCCACCCACCTGCCCCGGACCCCACAGCCTGCAGCCTGCGGGGCTCCCTCCTCTTACCGGTTCTTCAGGTGCTGGATACTGCCCAGACAGCGCAGGCGCCCGTTCACCATGATGGCCAGCCGCGTGCACAGCGCCTCGCACTCCTCCATGCTGCGGACAGAGACGCATGGGCTGGCACGGGGGCGGGCAGGGCAGGGGCAGGGGGAGGAGGGGTCCACACACACCTGTGCGATGTCAGCACCACCGAGCGCCCTGTCTTGATAAGGTCGAGGATGAGATTCCAGAGAAAGCGTCGGGCCTTGGGGTCCATGCCTGTGGTGGGCTCGTCCTGGGGGTGGTGCCAGGCTTAGCTGTGGAACCTCACTTACCCCGCCTGCCCCCACCGGCCACCTCCCACCTGGGCTCACCGGGAACACAAAAGTGGGGTACTCTACGCCCCCAGGCTCACCAGGAAGACAAAGGCAGGGTACCCAATGAGGGCGATGGCCGTAGACAGCTTCCTCTTGTTGCCCCCGCTGTAGGTACCAGCGGGCTTATCGGCGTACTTGGTCAGCTCCAGCTTCTCCAGCGCCCACTTCACCACCTGGGAGGAGAGCCGGTGTCAGGGGCCCACCCTCCCCGCCGACCCCTGCCCCGCCTGGGCGACCCTCACCCGGGCCTCGTCCTTCCAGGGGATGCCGCGGAGCCGCGTGTACAGCTGCAGGTGCTCCCGGGCCGTGAGCTCGTCGAAGAGGGCATCAAACTGCGGGCAGTACCCCAGGCTCTGCTGGACCTGGAGCAGCTCCTTGAGCACGCTGGGGACACAGTGTGGTCAGCACCAGGCGAAGTCGCCCCGCCAGCCTCGGTGCCGGTCCAGGGCCGCGTGCCCTCACCTGTGCCCGTTGATGAAGGCCTCGCCCCCCGTTGTGCTCTCGTCGCCCGTCAGCATCTTGAAGGTACTGGTCTTGCCCGCGCCGTTGACACCAAGGAGGCCGAAGCACTCGCCAGGACGCACGCCCAGGCACAGGCGGTCCACGGCCAGGATGCTGCCGAGCTTCCGAGACTTGTACACCTGGCAGAGGCGAGGGGCTGCCCGCTCAGAGGGGCGGCAAGCTGCCACTGGCCCACCTCCCATTCAGGGCCCTGCCCCTGCCCGGAGTGACTCCCCACATCGGGCCCCACTGGGCCCCACCCACCCCTCAACCATGCCCCCACTGGGTCCTGCCTTGTCTCACCTGCCCTACCTCACCCTTAACCACATCCCCACATGGGGCTCCATGCCCACACCCGGAGCCATGCCCCGACACTGCAGGCAGCACCCCCCCCCGGCCCCCTCTTCCTCATGCCCGAGGCCCACCTTGGTCAGGTTCTCAATCTTGACCATGTCATTGTCGGCGTCCCCCCGCAACACTCGCTGCCGCTCGCTGGCCACGTCGACATCGTCCTCCACAGGTTTGGTAGAGACTGGCATGCGCCTAGGGGAACAGGGCAAACAGTGTCCGGCCCGGCCACTTGGCCGACACCACCAGGCGCTCCCCCAAGCGCTTGTCGGCCCCGCACTCACTGTGGCTGTCGCAGGAAGTTATACTGGCACATGATGGTGAGGAAGAAGCCCACGAAGCCCTCTACCGTCATGGCCACCAGCCCCCTGGTGACAATATCCCACTCGAATGGGGACTTCATCTTGTCAAATTGGCCTGTGGGGCAGCCGACTCAGGGCCTGTGCCGGGGACCTTGAGAGCCCCCATTTGCCCCCCACTCCTGGAACTCCCCGATCTCTAAAGCCAAGTATGACCCTCTCTGTCCTCCCCACCCAGAGGCACATGCTGTCCAGCCCCCCAACCCAAGGGCCCCAACTGCCCCTGCCCTGCTCCCACCCCATCTCTGGTCCCAGGGCCCCTACTGCCCCCTGCCCCATCCCCACTCCCACTCCAAAGGCCCCTGAAACACGGCCCCCCCACCCCCTGCCCTGTGGCAAGCCCCTGTGGGTCCCTACTGCCCGCCTGCCCTGTGCCCAGTCCCTGGGCCCCTGGGCCCGCCAGCCGGCCTCACCAATCTTGGCATAATACTCGTTGATGTACTCGTTGTAGGCCATCTCCATGAGCCCATGGCCCAGGTTGTAGTTAGGGAAAATGAGGAAGCAGCTTTTCAGGTAACTGTTGACAACCTTCAGGTCCTGGAGGGTCACAGTGGGTCACAGGCACAGCCTCAGCTCTGCTGCGCCCCTCGCCCTGCCACCCCACCAGCCATACCTTGTCATGCTCGAAGAGCTGCAGCAGGAAGGTGGCCACAGTGGCCGTGATGCCAATGAAGAGGTTGATGACGATAAGAAACACGTAGGCCGAGCTGGGGACCTCGAACCAGAAGGAGGCCGGGTACATGATGGGGGTGATGGACCACCTGCAGGCGGGCAGGTGGGTGGCAGTCAGCAGGTGCCTGGCCCCACCCCGCACCCTCTGCCCCTGCCTGATCCCCCTTACCCATACAGCAGGAAGAGGGAGAGCACGGCAGGGAAGTTGGTGGGTGACGTATAGGCCGGCAAGTCGAACACAAACAGGATGATGACGCAGCAGGTTGCTGGGACCAGGTAGTTTAGCTGCCAGAGCAGGGGTGACGGGTGAGGGGCAGGGGCGAGGGCCTGACGCGGGGCTGAGGGCCTGACGCGGGGGTGAGGGGCAGGGGTGACCGGTGAGGGGCAGGGGCGAGGGGCCAGGGGCAGGGCAGGTGGGCCTGGCAGCAGACAGGGTGACGGGATGGCCAGGGGTCTGGGGGTCAAGGGACCTCCCCACTGCCATGCAGGAGGGACGCACCATGTCCCACACGTAGTTGGCCAGCCAGTAGATGACGGGGTTGCAGCCGCTGACGAACTGTAGGTGCTTGGCCTTGGTGGACTTCTCGGCCACCAGGAAGACTACGAAGCTAGCCGGCACGAAGGACATGGCCACGATGATGAAGATGGCGATGACCACATCTGTGCCCTGCAACCTGGGGGTGAGGCAGCCCTCAGCCCTGCCCTGGCCCAGGCTCGCTGTGGCGCCCCCGCCCCCCCGCCCCCACACGTACAGGTAGTCCAGGGAGAGGCTGGCGCTCGTCTTGTTCATGGGGTGGTTGGTGACAGTGATGCCTGTGGGACAAGGAAGGACAGCCTCAGGGACTTGCTCTATGCCACCCACCCTCACCTGCCTCACCCCGACTCACCATAAGCTGCTGGGTGGCCCTTGCTCTTGGGCAGGTTGGCACGCAGGATGGCGTTGTTGAGGCTGTTGAGGTAGGTAGGCATGCTGTGGTAACCCTTGTTGTTGTAGAAAACCTGGGGGGGTACATGAAGACCCCAAGAGCCTGTGGGTCCCTGTAGACCTCAGGCGAGGGCCAGATCCCGTGGCGCCTGGGCCAAGCGGTGCTCACCTGGGCTGCCCGGCGTACAGCGATCTTCCGCACCATGGCTGGGGCCCGGGCGCCAAACGAGGCCGGAATGGACTTCTGGACGTTGCCAAAGGTGATGGCCCCGTACCTGGACAGGCAGGTTGAGGGGCGGTGAGGCCAGGCAGGCGGTGGGTGGTTGTCCTTAGCCCACAGGGGACATGCGCCTCGACCCAGCTCACCGATGCAACCGGAAGCGGTCAGAGGTGAACAACAGGTACTCGGAGACGTTGTGGCCGGTGATGTCGGTCAGGATGTCGCCCGTGACCACACGCATCTGGGGTGGGTGTCCGCCCACACCACTGGGGCAGGAGAAGCCAGTGCCTTGCGTGGAGCAGGTGCAGCGGACAGGCTCCCGCACCAGGTGTGGCAGGGAGGGTGCTGATGTCCAGTTCTCTGTAAGCACAGTGGGCAGTCAGCCAGGCCCACTCCACCCCGCACCCTCAGGCAGCCCCAAGAAACCAGTACCTGGCCCGGAGGTGGGTGGTAGAGAGGTGTTCCAGGCCTGCAGTGGGTCTTCATACTGGGACACTGGTGAGTCGGACGGAGCGGGTGAGGGTGGGGGTGGCACAAAGTTAGACAGAGGTAGTCCCTGCGTGAAGGACTCCAGGCACATGCTGTCGAAGAACCGTGCAGCCAGCAGGCGCGACTCGCCGCTGCTCAAGTTCAGCGTGGAGCCCAGGGAGCCATTGGCTGGAGACTTGAGCACACAGGTGGCGCCCACACCCGATGGCAGCCGGAATGTGCTCATGAGCTGCTGGGGGCTGGCATCAGGTGACAGCTGAAATCTGGGGGAACCCGCAGTGTGAGTCCAGGTGAGGAGATGGGTGGCACCCACCTGCTCCAGCCCTAGAACCCAGTCCCTGCCCACCACAGCCACCTGGTGAGTGGCCTCACCGGTACTCCCGGCGCTCCTCGTTGGCATAAGGAATGAAGTTGCCGCGGGGTTGGGTGTAGTTGTGGTACTGGGACGGTGACAGGACCAACGGGGGCAGGTCACCTAGCAGGGTATATGCAGAAGCCGGAGCGAGTCCTCAGTCCCTGCCAGCGGCCCCAAGCCCAGGTCCCTTAATCCTAATACCCATGAGGCCCCAGCTCAGGACCAGGGCTCCAAGGAGGCATGAATCCCGCTGGGTGCCCGCCAGTCTCAGATGCAGTGCCCAGTCCCTGAGCTGGGAGGGCCCCCAAGTGGCTCAGGAGCAAGGCAGAGCCACAGTCCCACTCGGGTGGGACCCTAGCCCCCAATGCCCAGCAAAGTGGCCGTACCGATCTCGGGGACGGAGAGTGCCACGGTCATGGCCACACAGACAAAGAAGGCGGGGAGCAGGATCTGTGAGGACAGTGCCTTGGAGTTGCGGCGGGCACAGTGGAAGCGCTTCACCAAGAGCCCGTGGAACTGGCGCAGCTTCAGCCACCAGCCCTCTAGCTTGCGGCTGCCCTGGCCAACCCGCGTGAGAGCCTCTGCCTCGGCTTCTGCACAGAGAGGAGGGCTGAGCAGGCGGCCCAACAACGCCCTCCAGGAACCCTATCCAGCCCCACCCACCTGCCCCTCACCTTGCAAGCTGACGTTGTCGGGATCCTGCAGGTTATTGAAGAGAGGGCAGTAGTCGCCGTAGACGTCAGCATAGCCCGCTCCCTCATCCCCGCGGGCAGAGCCCACTGAGGACGCGGACTGCAGCGACGCCTGTGACTGGGCCAGTTCCGCACACCGGGCCAGGTTCCCTGTGTGAGCCTCCCCCAGTGCGGCCAGACCCTCTGCCCCAGGCAGCACGTCCTTCCTGGACTCCTTCACATCTGCACAAGAGGGGCCGGGGAGAGGGGAGAGGGGAGGCAGCTTGCACCCTGAACCCAACCTCCAGGCCTGCCCCATGCTCATCCACCCGCCTGGGACCCCCCCAGCCCCAAGATGACCTTGGGGAGTCCTAGGCCCTTGTTCCTAGTCAGGACCCTTGGCTACCAGAGACAGGAAGAGTGAGCAGCCCTAGGCTCGAGTTTCGGCTTGGTAGGGTGGGGTGGAGCAGGGGCTTCTCACCCGCCTCACTGTTCTCCAGCGATTGGTCCTCCTCTGACACCTTGAGGAACACCTCCTCTAATGTGGTGTCCATCAGCCCGAAGCTGCTCAGATGTAATGCATCCAGACTGCACTCCAGGTTCTGTGAAAGGGCTGGGTGAGGCCCACAGCAGAGTGGGCCAGAGGGCGGGCGTGCCCTGCCCCTCCACCAGCCCTGCCCCCACCAGCCCCAC